AGGACTCATGGACAACTTGGAGCACAGGAATCTCTTTGTAATGGTCCCTCTGCCTAGACACAACACCTAGCCATGCCCTCTTTGATTCCTGCTGCTTTACCAGTGCTCTAACACAGGAAGTAGACACAAGGTCCCAATGTGTCTACTCTGGTCATTTACTTTCTTACTTTCCTCATTCTCCTTGCATTTCTCTCCTCTCATTCAAGTCAAAAGAAGCTGTTGTTGATTAGAAATTGAGAGATGCAGGTGAAACTCTGCTCCCTCTCACAACATTAGTCCAGAACATTTTATATATTCTCCTAAAATCTTAGGCTTTGGGAAGCTAAAGCCACAAAAATTATTTCTTCTGCTCTCTGTCTTTCCTTTCTTTCAAGAAATGGGCATAAGTCAGTCAAATACTAAAATTGATAATAATATGGGGGATAGAAAACAAATGGACATAATAAATCACAATAATTACCCAACAACATTTTAAAAATATACCACTGTTACCAAATGAGATAAAAACTTCCCATAATAAAAGTGAACGCAGAATGTTGCTACCGGATTTTAAAAGAGAAAGGTTTGACCTGAGATAAAATATTGTGAGAAGCAGTAGTTTGTCTCAATATTTTGAAAGAATCCCATCATCTTTAAGAGCATATTCAAATAACTGGGGTTAGAGTAACTCTTTTCATTGTTTAATTTTTTAAACTTATCTGTTTTTAAATAGAGACTGGGGTCTCACTATGTTGCCCAGGCTGCTCTCAAACTCCTGGCCTCAAAGGATTCTCCCGCCTTGGCTTCCCAAAGTGCTGGGATTACAGGAATGAACCACCACTTCCAGTCAAAGTTAACTCTTGTATCAAAGGGAGAGTTTCTTTAGAGCAGTAGCCCAGTGATTTCTGAAAATATTTTGGTAAAATCTTATAAATAGCTGCAGAGGATTGATCCTAACACACTGGGTAGTGGAGACACCATCTATGTGAAGGCATTTGAGGACTAGGAAGTAATAGGGTCATATGATGCTACAGCTAAAAAAGTCCTAGAGATCATCTAAAATGACACTTCCATTTATTACGTCAAGAAACTGAAGTTGACAGTGGGAAGACTTCCGAAGTCACGGAGAGACAGCAGCAAACCCAGGTTAAGAACAAGGACTCAACTGGGCTTGGTGGCTCAACGCTTATAATCCCAGCAGTTTTGGAGACCAAGGCACACAGATCATTTGAGGTCAGAAGTTCAAGACCAGCCTGGCCAACATGGTGAAACTCCTTCTCTAGTAAAAATACAAAAATTAGCCAGGTGTGGTGACACATGCCTGTAGTCTCAGCCATTTGGGAGGCTGAGGCAGGAGAATTGCTTGAATCTGGGAGGAAAAGCTTACAGTGAGCCAAGATTGCACCACTGCACTCCAGCCCGAATAATGGAGCGAGACTCCCTCTTGAGAAAGGAAAGAAAGGAAAGGGAAAGGGAAAGAAAAGAAAATAAGAAAAAGGAAAAGGGAAAAGGAAAGGAAGGGGAAAGAAGGATGGAAAGAGAGAGAGAAAGAAAAGAAAAGGAGGAAGGAAGGATGGCTGAAGAAACAGGACAATAAATGAAATATGTAGAAGGAAGGATAAAGAGACAGGACAATAAATGAAATGTGTAGTTCTTGACTCGATCATGGCAGGGGAGGGCTATGAAAGTATATCAGAGAGATATCTTCACTCCTATGTTTGTTACAGCACTGTTCACAATAGGCAAGATTTGGAAGCAGCCTAAGTATCTATCAACAGATGAATAGAAAAGAAAAATGTGGTATATAAACACAATGGAGTACTATTTATCCATAAAAGAAGAATGAGATCCTGCCATTTGCAACAATACAGGTGGAACTGGAGGACATTATGTTGCGTGAAATAAGCCAGGCACAGAAAGACAAACTTCACATGGTCTCACTCATTTGTGGGAGCTAAAAATTAAAACAATTTGAATTCATGGAGACAGAGAGTAGAAGGATGATTACCAGAAGCTGGGAAGGGGAGTTGGCAGTGGGAGGAGAGTGGGGATGGTTAATGCGTGCAATGAATGAATGAATAAGCTAGAATGAATAAGATCTAGTATTTGCAAGCACAATCGGGTGCCTATAGTCAACAATTTATTACACATTTTTAAATAACTAAAAGAGTATAATTGGGGTATTTGTAACATAAAGAAATGATAAATGCTTGAGATGATGGATATCTCATTTACCTTGGTGTGATTAAATCACATCGTCTGCCTGTATCAAAATACTCATGTACTCCATAAATGCCTACTATGTACCCATAAAAACTAAAAATTAAATAAAATTTTTTTAAAACGTAAAAAAAAAAAAACCTTTCTTAATTGCTTTAGTTTTCCAGGAAAAAGAAATAAATAAAATAAAGCTTTCAAAATATTTTGGGGGCCGGGCGCGGTGGCTCATGCCTATAATCCCAGCACTTTGGGAGGCCTAGGCGGGTGGATCACGAGGTCAAGAGATCGAGACCATCCTGGTCAACAAGGTGAAACCCCGTCTCTACTAAAAATACAAAAATTAGCTGGACATGATGGTGCGTGCCTGTAGTCCCAGCTACTCGGGAGGCTGAGGCAGGAGAATTGCTTGAACCCAGGAGGCAGAGGTTGCGGTGAGCCAAGATCGTGCCATTGCACTCCAGTCTAGGCAACAACAGCGAAACTCCGTCTCAAAAAAAAAAAAAAAAAAAAAAAAAAAATATTTTGGAGACAATTAGGGAGTTCTTAATATAGACTGTATTTTAGACACTATTACTATATCACTATTAAATTTCTTGATTGTGATCATGGTATTTCAGTTATGTTGGCTTTCCTAGCTCTGAGCAGAAATATACTGATGTGTGCAGCTTATATTCAAATGATTCAGAAAATACTTGTGTGTATTTTTGTGTATGTATGTATGGAGATAGAGATGGAGAAAAATGAAAGAAAAATAAGAGAGGGATGATACCAAGAGCAAATCTGGCAAAATGCTTGTCACTGAACCTAGTAAAGAGTAATGAGTGCTCTTGGTACTGTTCTTTCAACTTTTCTATAGGTTTAACATTTCTCAAAATTAAAATATATGAGGGAGCATGCAAAAGACAAGAATGGCTTATTAATAGAAAAACAAAATAGCCTGTAAACATATGAAAAATGTATGAGAATAAAGGTGCTAGATTATTTAAGCTTTTGATTTCCTCCCACCCTCACAGCATTTGCGCTTTAATCACTTCAATTGCATTTCTTCAATGAGACCAGGAAGGAATAGGAAATAAAATCTCAACTGTTACATTTTGCTTCTCATTAGAGTCCTGGAAAAAGGTTTAAAAGATTCAATCAATCAAAATGAACTCATTACAGTGAGTTTTGAAAAGGATCTGTAATTCACAACCTGCTTTTAATTCACAACATGCTTTTCAGTCAGAGTCCTCTGACCTCCTATGACCTTAAATGTTTGGCCCTAAATGGCAAAAAAACAAAAGTTAACAATAAGTCATATGAAATATAGGTTTTCTTTAAATAAATTTTTAAAATGTTCACCTCAACCACTGGCCTTTAGTTTTATCGCGATAGTGGCCTATAGAAGGTACCAAATGAAAGGCAACCAACGGATTCACAAACCATGGACAGAGGTTTTCCTTTTCAGAAATAATATGAAGGAAGCAATATAATACAGTGGTTCACACAGAGATAGGGGCTATCAAGTCAGGTTTTCTGTGTTTAAATATTTACTTAACCAGTTACTAGCTATGTGATTTGTGGCGAATTACTCAATCTGTTTATGCTTCAGTTTCCTGATCTCAAAAATGGGAACAACAGTAAAATCTGTCTTAGGGTTGTTGTGATGTTTAAATAAGTTAGTATACTTAAGCTCTTGAAATGGCTCACTACAGCCTCGATTTCCCAGGCTTAAGCCATCCTCCCACCTCAGCTTTCCAAGTATCTGAGAATACAGGCACATACCGCCATAGCTGGCTAATTTTTTTTTTTTTGGTAGAGATGAGGTCTCAGTATGTTGTCCGGGCTGGTCTCAAACTCCTGGGTTCAAGCAATCCTCCTGCCTCAGCCTCCCAAAGTGCTGGGAACCATGCTCAGCCTATAGTTCTTATTGTTACTAGTATTACAACAACAAATGCTACAATCATTGGTATCATCTGCTACTTGTAGTTGATGAAGTTTGGCATGAGATTCAGAAAAACCAGAGCAACACAAAAGTAGCACAGTCCTCCCCACACCCCGGCCACACACATACACACACATATCACAGGCTGAAAAAGTGAAATAGATCAGACCTTAAGTCAGTCCTTTAGTGTTTCCTCAGGCTGTTTTGAGGGAAACTGAGGAGAAGGTAATAATATACCAAAAATGTTTGGCTCATTTCAAGAAGTAATCTGTGTGATCTTGACAAATTAATCTCAGGAGAAATAACATGTTCTCTCATTTCAGTCAATCATTTATCAAATTTTATTGAGGTGTACTATGCATCCAGTGTTGAGCCAAATGCAAGGAATATAAAATGGAACGATGTCTATGTCTTTTAAAACTTTGTGTTCATTTCCACTAAATATATATATATATATATATATATATATATATGTTATATGATGGATGTGCACACAGGGTAGAATGGAAGCACACAGAAAAGACCTAAGTTAGACTTGGAGGAAGGAGAAAACAGCACAAAGATTACCCAGAAGCGATGATATTTAAACTGAGCCTTAAAGACAAGGATAGAGGGGTTCATTCCTCCAGGGCTAGAAGTTAGCAAATGTAGAAAAAAGATAAGCCCTACTCCCCTGCCTACAGTCACATGAAACCAAAACACTTCTCCCTAAAGCTAATAGATACCCATCAGAGGTAGGTGCTTAGACAGATGTGCTTCGGGAATATCTTCTGTTTACACACGTGATGTCTCTACCCTCCCCAACTCGATTAAGTCATGTTTGGAGAAGCGATAGAAAGCTGCAGTTAAGAGATTCATAGACAAGTTTCTCACTTACAACACTGGGCGGCAGCAGTGGGCAATGGCTTCCTCTGGCTTTCTTCTTGACTAGGATACTAGAAGCAGAAAGGAGAAAAAAATACAATCAGAGGCCCAAGTAAAGAGAGAAAAAAAAAAAAAAATCACAGCTACCTATAAAAGGGTTTAGTGTTTCTAAACAAAATTTTTATTGAACAGAAACAGAACACCCTGCTCCTATTTTCTCTATGTGATCCTGACATACAGGCCAGACTATGGGTTATGGGCCTGGCCCAGTGAGACAGACTAAATAAAGCAGGACAGTAAAGAGCTGTCCTGACCATGGGAACCTGGGCACCCACCCAGCTCTGCCAGGCAGCTGTAGAAGGTTTGACCTTGGAATCCCTAGAGTATTTCACTGTCCTCTGAGTTTTCCTGGGGCTAATGTGTAGATTTCCCCATTCAGGTGAGCCAAATGAAAAACTGTCTGGGGCTCTTTTCTCACTTCTGAGCAATAGTGCTTCTTCATTCATAAGGTCACATGTGAAATAAGTGAAACTGCTTACCTAAGCATGTGGTGCAATATCTGGTATCTATAAGAGTTCCTCTCCCACTAGCACTGTAGTCTCCACCATCCCACCCACCACGACCACCACAAAAACAAATACAGGGCACTGAAGACATAAGAAAATGTTCTATAAAAGGAAAGAATTATGTGCAATTCTTGAGGATGGGCTGGATTCAGAAGGTAAAAGAGAAAGGAACAAACAAATTAACGGGTACACAGAGTCTGGAAGACAGAATAATTTGGTTCAGAGTCCATTGGAGAATTATAAAAATGTATCTTGACCAGGAACTTGCAAACATGAGATGTAGAGTTCTCATCCTGACCTGGCCACTTATTCATAAACTGTGAGATCCTAGGCAAGTCAGAAATTCTCTAAAACTGCCAACAAATGAGTTATTTATTCATGCAACAAATATTGATTGAATATCCACTATCCGCAAGGCCTTGTTCTAGGCAGAATTTGTAAATCACGGTAAAAATTTGGACTTTTCTAGTGTACTGAGGAGTCCTTTAGGGTTTTAAACATGAGAGGATTATGATATGATTATACTTTTAAAAGATTAATCTGGCTGCTGTATATGTTGAACTGAAGGGAACACAAGAAAAAATAGAGTAATTAGTGCAATAATCCAGACAAAAGTTAATGATGTTGTACATAACACTCTTATGAGTATCAGTGGTGAAGAGCATTTCAAATGGTTGGGATCCAAAATACAAAACACTTTTTGTATACAAATATACTTTATAAGCAATAAAGTATGGTACAAATATCAGAGGTAAACACTGTTATTACTAATTTCCATGGAGAATGATCAGAAAAGTCAAGTGCAATGTAAACAGTATGATAGCACTAGCAAAACTGCCAATCACAGAAATGTTCAAAACATCTTTTTTTTTTTTTGAGATGGATTCTTGCTCTTTTGCCAGGCTGGAGTACAGTGGTGAGATCTCAACTCGCTGCAAACTTCACCTCCAGGGTTCAAGCAATTCTTGTGCCTCAGCCTCCCAAGTAGCTGGGATTACAGGCGTGAGCCACCACACTTGGCTAATTTTTGTATTTTTTAGTAGAGACAGGGTTTCACCATGTTGGACAGGCTGTTTTTGGACTCTTGACCTCCAGTGATCCACCAGCCTCAGCCTCCCAAAATGCTGGGATTACAGGTGTGAACCACCATGCCCAGCCAAGTTCAAAACATCTTGAAGGTCAAACATCCACTCCAAAGTAACAAAAGTTATTATATATAACTTTTGTTATATAACTAAGTTATAATATATAACTTAGTTATATATAATAGTTACTACAGATAATTATAATTTTTGAAGACAGTACACAGGCATAACCATGAGGAATCCCAAAATTTTAAGTATTCAAGAATTCAGACATAAGAGATCAGAGTAGATATTTTCAGAAGCTACATTTAATGAATCTGTTTCAGGCCCAAAACAGAAAGCTGAAGTTCAATTAGAGTATAATTAATAATGTTAAGACGGCTAAGAAAAAAGCCACAAAATTTATCTACAAAAAACAGAAAAGGATAGTATAAGAAAGGAAAATTACAGGCCAATTTCATTTATGAATATAGAGATAAAATCCTAATTAATAGATTACTAGGCAAATCTGTCATATAAGTGTGTGTAATACTTATATGTGACTATGTATGCATATGTGTGCATATGTATGTGTGTTAGCATATAAATGTACATATATCCCATCCAGATGGACATTAAATGCTAGGACAGTTCAGTATCTGAAAGTCTACTTACGTAATTCACCATATTAAACAGATCAAAGGAGAAAAACTATATGATCTAATAGATGCAGAAAAAGATTTAATAGAACTCCATACTTTTTCATGACAAAAATCCTTAGAAAATAAGAAAGAAAATAGAATTTCCTTAATCTGGTAAAGAGTAGCTACCAAAATCCATGGCAAACAGCATACTTTAAAACTTATGAAGCAGTCTCCTTACAGTCAGAAGACAGACAAGGCTCTCTACTCTTACATTGTTAAAAATTATACTGGATGTCCTAGGCATTGAATGTTTCAAATAAAAGGTCATGAGAAACAAGAAAAGTCTGAGAAAATGTCACAGCCAAGAGAAGCCTAAGGAGACGTGACAGCTAAGTGTAATGCAATATCCTGGATGAGATCCTGGAACAATAACAAAAAAGACACAAGGTAAAAACTAAGGAAATCTGAATAAACTATGGAATTTTAGCTTTTTTTTAAGTTAACAATAAAATAAATAAATAACACTAACTCTTTAGTTAATAATAATTTATCAATACTAGTTCATTAACTGTAACAAATGTATCATACTAATGAAACTACCTTTGCAAAAATCGTAACTAAGGAAATTATGACAGTGAAAGAAATCAGATCTAACCAGTTCCATCTTGCTTCTAACCTTTAAGCTGTCCTTGTTCATACCTGGACATAAGCTGAACTAACTTTGGGAAGGAATTCAATTCAAGGTTTTGACTCTGAAACAAAATTGATAATAGCCCTTTTCCAAAAAGATTCCCTTCTTGCCTGGGGACCAGTCTGCCTTTGTAGGACTAATAAAATTAGCTACAAGATTAGAAATCACTTTAGGGGTCATGCAGCCTCTGGCTCCAAGAAGTCTGAACCTTCCCAAATTGCTCCGGGAATAACATCACTATTATAAAACCTAAGGTCAGTGCTTGAGACATTTTGCAGACCCTGCACTAGATGGATCAGCTGACACCACTCAGACCCGTAATCTGGCCCAACCAGTTCTGCCATCCCACACAAGAACAGAAGACAGCAAGAAAAACTCACTTCTACCAGCTATGATTCCATCTACGACCTGACCAATCAGCATTCCCTACTACCCAACCCCTACCTGCCAATTTATTTTTAAAAATTCTGATGCCCAAATGCTCCCAGACACTGATTTAATAATAAAACAGCACTGTCCTGCACAGCCGGCTTTGTGTGAATTACTCTTTTTCCATTGCAATTCCCCTGTCTTCATGAATCAGCTTCTAGGCAGCAAGCAAGGTGAACCTGTTTGGCAGTTACATAAATGTAAGATGTTAATAATAAGGGAAACTATAAGATAAGGGGGGGACAGGATAAATACCTGCTCAATATTTCTGTAAATCTAAAACTTCTAAAAAATAAAGTCTGTTAATAAAAATATATGTATAAACAGGCCTGGCACGGCTCACTCCTGTAATCCCAGCACTTTGGGAGTCCAAGGCAGGCAGATCACTTGAGGTCAGGAGTTCGAGACCAACCTGGTCAACATGGTAAAAACCCATCTCTATTCAAAATACAAGAATTAGCCAGTTATAGTGGCACATGCCTGTAATCCCAGCTACTTGGGAGGTTGAGGCAGGAGAATCGCTTGAGCCTGGGAAGTGGAGATTGCAGTGAGCCAAGATCATGCACTCCAGCCTGGATGAAAAAGTAAGAATCTGTTTAAAAAAAACCTGACATATATACATATATGTAATATAATTTTATATATATATTATATACATATTATATATAGTATAAACAATTCAAACACTTAGAAAAATAAAGGGTAAGGATTGGAAGGAGAATAAAAACTTAAAGATGCAAAAACTAGCTACATAGAAAATCTAAGGGAATCGCTAAACTATTAGAACTATTAATAAGATCAGTACTTGAGTAAGATCAGTACTTTAAAAAGATGAGCAGCAAAGCATTTACTTATAATAATAATGTCATAAGCGATTAGAAAATGTAATTTTTAGAATGCACCATTTGCAACAATTAGGGGGAAAAAAATCTAACAAAAGTAGTATAACACTTGCATAAAGAAAAAATATCTTCCCCCCTATTATGGTCTGAAAGTTTGTATCCCACTGCCCCTGCCCTCACCAAAAATTCACTTGTGTGATGATACTAGGAGGTAGGGCCTTTGGGAGATGATTAGGTCATGAGGGTGGAACCTTCATAAATGGCCTAAGTACCCTTATAAAAGAGGCTCCAGAGAGCATGCTCCATTATATGAGAACACAGCAAGGTGCTGTCTATGAACCAGGAAAAGGGCCCTCACCAGACAATGAATGTGCCAGTGCCTTAATCTTGGACTTCCCAGCCTCCAGAACTATAAGAAATAAGCTTCTGTTTTGTTTATAAGCTATCCAGTTTGCACTGTTACAGCAATCCAAATAGACTAAGACATCCCCTATAGCACTTCTCACCTTTTAATACTCAACTATATTTATTATATTTCTTGCTTATTGTCTGATTCTGCCTATGTGATCCATGAGGGTAGGGGTCTTCAACCTCTGATGTATATCAAACACACAATAGTGCATGGTACATGATGCTTAATAATTGATTTGGTGAATAAATGATGAACAAATCTCACCAATAAACAGGGAAATACAAATTAAAACAATTTCTATACTCATTAGATTAATAACAATTTAAAATCCGATAACATCAAGTGTCAGTAAGGAAACAGTGAAGCAGGGAAAGGGTAGATGTAAATTGGTACAATCACTCTAGAGGGCAATTTAGTAATATCTAGTAAGGCTGAACAGGGTATATCCTACAACCAAACACCTACTCTTCCAGGTATACACCCAGAGAATCTCTCAGATACAAGAATAGAGAAACAGGTTCAGAAATGTTCACTGCAGCATGCATTTATAATTGCAAAAACCTAATTGTCCATGAGTAGGAAAAGTAATACAGCGTGGTACAGTCCAACTCTATAAAGTGGTAGGTGCCCAAGTCAGTCTTGATTAGTGCTTCTAGGCCCACTAGGTGTAAGGGAAATGTTACACACAGTAGAATAAAAAAGTTACACTCTATATTGTATTTTTAAAATGATTTTGCAGCAAGTATGATGAAATCCTGATAATTATTGAACCTTAAGGGTGGGTATACACATGGGCTTCCTTTTATTATTCCTCTATTTTTATGTATACTTAATTTTTTTCATGATAAAAATAGAAAAAGAGAAGAGACAGAAGCCAACTTGAAGAAACTCCCATTAACCAAAGATGAGATCATTTTAGTATCAAAAAGAATGTCCAGCCTCGGCAACATAGAAAGACCCCATCTCCACAAAAGTTTTAAAACTAGCTAGGTGTGGTGATGTGTGCCTGTAGTTTCCGCTACTTGGGAGGCTGAACTGGGAGGATGACTTGAACCTAAAAGTTTGAAGAGGTAGTGAGCTATGAGTATGTCACTGCACTCCAGACTGGACAACAGAGCAAGACCTTGTCTCCAAAAAAGAATAATTGCAATGGGTTGAAATATATGATCAAATATACCAAAATTCATAAATACATAGTAATATTCCATTTAAAAAAGAAAACAACTTATTGGTCACCTTGAGAAGTTGCTGAGGCAACAATTCATTATTCTAAAAATGGATAAAGAGAATGTTTTTCTTATACAGACTATACTTCGGTGAACCAAATAGCTAGGAAGAGAAAACTCATTTTTATAGACAAATCATAGCTCATAAATGCTGAAGGGATAATATAATCAGAATATCATGGCCAACCACGGTAGCTTACACCTGAAATGCCAGCGCTTTGGGAGGCCGAGGAGGGCAGATCACCTGAGGCCAGGAATTCAAGACCAGACTGGGCAACAAGGTGAAATCCTGTCACTACAAAAAATACAAAAATTAGCCGGGCATCGTGGTGTATGCCTAAAGCAGGCAGATCACTTGAGCCCAAAAGTTCGAGACCAGACTGGGCAATATGGTGAAACACCATCTCTACAAAAAATATAAAAATAAAATAAAGTAAAATGATTTAAGAGACATAATAGCCAAATGGGCACAACAGAACTAAACTGATCCTGCTGACACACTAATTTCTGGCTCCTGAAATGAAAAAATCAACTGTATAAAAATATCTTCTAGCTAATAAAAGAAACTGAAAAGACTGGATATTGGATGACACTAAGAAATTGCTAAAGTCAATGTGATAATGGCATTTTTTTAAGCATTATCTGTTAGAGATCTATACTGATATATTTATGGTGAGATAAAATAACACCTAGGATTGTTTTTTGTTTATGACACAGAGTCTTACTCTGCCACCCAGACTGGAGTGCAGTAATGTGATCTTGGCTCACTGAAGCCTCTGCCTCCCGGGTTCGAGCAATTCTCCTGCCTCAGTCTCCTCAGTAGCTAGGATTACAGGTGCCCGCCAATTTTTTGGCTAATTTTTGTATTTTTAGTAGAGACAGGGTTTCACCATGTTGGCCAGGCTGGTCTTGAAATCCTGACCTCAAGTGATCTGCCCACCTTGGCCTCCCAAAGTGCTGGGATTACTGGTATAAGCCACCACACCTGGCTGGATTGGTTTTAAAATACTCGAGCAAAAAAGGGAAGACTAACTCTATATTTTTTCATGTTTCAAAATATCCATAATAATAAAGTTTTTAAGTGGAAGAACAACCAAAATGCGATACAACTTCATACGTGCTACGAATGGAAGAATGGATATAATAAAAAAAGACAGATAATAATAAGTGCTGACAAGGATATAAAGAAACTGAAATCCTTATACACTGCTGGTAGGAGTATAAAATGTCACAGCCACTTTGGAAAATAGGCTGGCAGTCTATCAGTTAAATACAGAGTTACCATGTAATCTAGCAATTCCACTCCCAGTCATATCCAAGAGAAATGAAAACATATGTCCACACAAAACTGTGTATATAAATGTTCAAAGAAAAACTGATTTGGAGTTGTAGTGATATCCAAAGAGCACAACTATGAAGATACTAAAAAGCCACCAAACTGTATGTAAGCTTTAAATGAGTGAACTATATGGTATATATAAATTATATTTCAATAAAGCTGCTAAAAAGATAAACAGCGCAGTGGAAGAGAGGATGAAAGATAAAAACTTAGTGAGTGGCATAACCTAGAATAAAACCAGAAAGCAAATCCATAACAGCTGAAAAGCAGAAACAACCCAACTGTCCATCAACTAATGAACGAATTTAAAATGTACTACATCCATACAATGGAATGTTATTTGGCAATAAAAAGGAATTTATTTACATGCTAAAACATGAATGAAACCTTGAAAACATTATGCTAAGTGAAAGAAAACAAAGGACCACATGTTATATAATTTCATTTTTATGAAATGTGCAGAATAGGTCAATAGAGACAGAAGGTTGATTGGTGGTTGCATAGGGCTGAGGAGGATAGGGAAGAATGGAGATGATGGCTAAGGGCACAGGGGCAATGAAAATACTCAAAATTGTAGTGATATCCATGGGCACAACTATAAAGATAGTAAAAGCCACTGAACTGTAAGCTTTAAATGAGTGAACTGTATGGTATATATAAATTATATTTCAAAAAAGCTGCTAAAAAGATAAACAGTGCAGTGGAAGAGAGGATGAAAGATGAAAACTTAGTGAGTGCCATGCCCTAGAATAAAAACAGAAAGCAAAAATCTGATATGCATTTGGGAACCCCAGACCAAGAAACATTTTTATTAGAACTTATAAAATTCTGCAATATTTGTATATAATGCTTGGCTGTTAAATTGTTTTAATCCATTCTTGATTCTGCATGATGACACACAGTAAAGCGTATAAAATGAAAAGTACAACATGCTTCTTTACTAGGAAAGCAAAGATATGGGAGTCTGAAAGGCTGAATACCACTCCACAGCCAGGCTCAGAAAGAACAAAAACACAAAGGGTAAAGTAAATGCAAAGATAGTATGAATGCTCAGAGTCACTAAGTGGAGTAGGAGGAACTGGAGCTTTCAATAAAGAAGAAAAGTGGGAACATTGGTATGGGAATGAGAAGAGTTATACAGCTTAATAACAGAAAGCCTACCGAGAATAACGGAGATAAGGAAAAACCCTGAAAACAGTAGATGTTGCTTGTCCCAAATGCCGTTGTTCATCTTTCATTTTAATTCACTGTGGGTTGAATTATATCCCCGCAGAAGATATTTTAGACTTCTAAGCCCAGCTATCTGTGAATATGACCTTATTTGGAAACCAGGTCTCTGCAGATGTAATCCAATTAATTCAATGACTGGTGTCCTTATAAAAACAATGGAAATTTAGACACAGACACACAGCAACAGGAGAATGCATTGTGAAGATACAGACAGACACACAGGGAGGCATAGGACAATGGAGGCAGAGATTAGAATGATACATCTATAAGCTAAGGAATAGCAAGGACTGCCAGGAACCATCAGAGGTAGGAGAAGGGTAGACAATGTTTCTTCCTTGAGAGCCCCTAAACAGAGCTAAAATGATCCTGCTGACACCCTAATTTCAGGCTTCTAGTCTCCAGAACTGTGTTAAAACAAATTTTGGTTGTTATAAGTCACATAGTTTGCAGTACTTTGTTATGACAGCTATAGGAAACTAATACAGTCATCAAACCACTGCATTTTCGGCTTTATGTACTAGACTATGGATGTATACTCATCATCAATCACCAAATCCAATAGCTCTGTTTCATAATTCACTTGTTTTAACATGTGACACTGTCAATAATTTCTGCCTTGAATCTCTTTTTATTTTGTTCCATGAATCTTTCTTGGTTATCTTATTCTCTCTCTTTAAGGTTGCCCTTTCTCAATCTCTTTTGTTTCTCAGAATTCTATGTTTAAGGTTTCCCAAGATTTTGTCCTTGTTCTTTAATACTTTAGTATGCTCTACTTGAGCAGGTTTTTCCATTCCTATTACTTCAATTGTTTCTAATATATTAATGAAGCTCTATGCCTATAGCTCTCTACCCCATTCAAACCTCAGCTTTGGATTATCTCATGAAATTGTTTATCAAAAATTTCTACTGAAATATCCTCTGGCACTCAAAATATATCTTATAATCAGATCCATTTTTTAGTAGTCCACATGTCCAAAATAAACAAATTTATCATCTTTTCCCTCCATCAGCAATAACAAAAACATTTTCCAATCCTGATGCCCCAGGTTAAGCTGATTGCATTCTCTTATACGCACCAGATAAGGCCAGCAAGACCAAACAATGCAATTGTCCCAACATCCTCAAAAATCAGACCCAAATAAGAATAATATCCAAAAACCTGGGAAACAGTAGAAGCAAAAGAAATGCCGCCAACTCACAGGTGTAACAAAAGAGGACAGATTCCCTAGTACAAGCTCCCTCCCTCACAGTCTAGAGCCAGACTAGTGCCACAGTACGAGAGAGTGGGAAGAATAGAATAAATGGAAGATGGAATCTTCTAGTGACATTTCAGGCAATCTTCTAGTTGCCTTTTTTCTTTAATGCAATTTCAATTATTTCATTCTCAGAATGACATGCTCTTGGGCCCCTCCCAGGGCAACCTATAAAGAGCATCAGAGATTTTCTCCCATCTCTCTATACTGCAAATAAGGCTGCTCCTACCTCATTGTCGGCTCCCAAGGCATTGAATTGCTCCCATTTGTAGGTCCAATATCTGGCTTCCTCTTCTGGGATATCTACCATAAAAAAAGAAGAAGAAGAAAAGAAATTATATCAGCAGGTAAAAAATCATCAGCAGATAATACTTTATTCAGACTAATGACTGAGGTCAGAAGGTGGTGGTGATGGACAAGTTTTAACTGGTGGTTTGGTTCTTGTCATGAACATTATGTTTACTCTTCACAAAAAAGCACCAATACAACGTACTGTTATTCTCATTGTTATTTTGTAGATGAAGAAACTGAACTTCAGAGAGTTCGTAAAATAATCTGGCCAAGGTCACAGTTTATAAAGAGATGAGCCATGAATCAAACCATGGTTTGTGTGATTCCAAAAGCTACATTCTTTCTATGTAACTATACTACTTTTCCCTCAGCAAGACCAAAACCATCCAAAGAATTAGCTTAGAAGAAAAGTTACATGCTGAGATATTGAGATGCTCAAAATTCAAAGGCTTTCTCCCCAAAAAGTTAAAAGTAGAATTACCATGTGACACAGTTCTCCCACTTTGGGTTATACATACGAAAGAACTAAAAGCAGGATCTCAAAGAGATATTTGCACACCCAAGTTCCTAGTAGCATTGTTCACAATAGCCAAGAGTTGAAGCAACTGAAGTGTCCACAAATGGATGAAAGGATTAACAAAATGAGAGATTTACATACAATGGAACATTATTCAGTCTTAAAAAGGAAGAAAATCTTGCCACATGCCATAATACGGATGAACTTTGTGCATGTTATGCTAAGTGAATTAAGTTCATCATAAAAAAAGATAAATATTGTATGATTTCACTTACATAAGGTAACTAAAGTAGTCAGATACACAGAAAAGAAACAATGGTGGTTGTCAGTGGCTGTGGAGAGGGGGAAATGGGGAGTTGTTTAATGGGGACAGAGTTTCAGTTTTGCAAGGTGAAAAAGTTCTGGATATCTGTTCTACAACAATGTGAACGTACTTAACACTAGTGAACTGTGCACTTCAAAATAGTTAAGATGCTAAATTTTAAGTTATGTCTTTTACCACAATTAAAATTTTTTAAAAAGAAGCTATTAAAAAAATACTCATAGGTTTTATGCCTGGAAAATATTAGATGCTCAAATATTTGTTAAGTGAGTCTCTAAGTGAAAATATTTGAATTTTTAAAAATAATGATATAATGGTATATCCTGATTTCCAAATATTTTAAACTGACTATAACAACTTCTCCCCAAAATTCACCTTTTGAAAACATCAAGTATGACCATATAACCAGCACAAAAGAGAAACACTCAGGCAATATATGGATCATGTCAACTTCAGAGACATTGAAACAGATACGCTTTTTAGCAGCCCACATGAATAAAGCAAATATAGCCCTTTCCTTTCTCCTTTGTTCCGCCTGTCCAAAACTTCAGCTCCTTCCCTTCAACTAGCTCTTTAGCAATTGGTGACAATATTTCAAAGCCTTATTTAAAAAATACACACATACACCTTCAAATAATCTACAATGTAATTTGTATAGCATTTTTTCATCCATATGGTACATCCCTAAAATGGTATACTAGCACCTGTTAAAAAGAAGGAGAGTGGGAGGTGCAAGGTGGAAGAGGAGCTGCTGCTGCTGTGGGTCTATATGCTCCGATGTGGGATGATTCACCAAAATATATTAAGTGGAAAACAGCAAGGCACAGGGAATGTGTTAGAACATGCTACTATTTGCATTTTAAAAAGAAGATGGTGGGGCGTGTGTGTGTGTGTGTGTGTGTGTGTGTGTGTGTACACACATATATAAGCATCTATATAGGTATATAAGAAAGTATTAATAGTGGTAGCCTATAGGAAGAGAATGGATTTCTGAAGAGACTCTTCACTGTATAGCTTTTTAAACCATTGTAAATTTATTCCTGCCTCACCCTACAAAAATAGTTTTAAGAAGAAAAAATAGAGATACAAGCATGTTTATCGCAGTATTTTTTATAGCAGTACAAACTTCAAACAACCAAAATACCCAACAAGAAGTGGTTAAATGTATTATACAAATAGTTAAAATTAAAAGCCCAGGCTCTAGAGTCAAACCATGGCCAAAATACTTAAATACTCTCTGCCTTAGTTTGCGTATCTCTAAAGTGGGAATAATAGTTGGGTCTGCCTCAAAGGACTGAAATGAGGATTAAATGAGCTAACATACGTAAATACTTAGTGACATGCCCACCGGCACACAATAATTCACCATAAATGTTATTTTATTATTATTGATGTTTTAAATAAAATCAACCACTAAAAGTAGATAATGTCTATTTTATATAAGATTTATAACTATGTAATTAGTGATACAAAAAGTAATACTACATTAAAAAACAACCATTTAAAGTCTCTGGAAATGGTCCTAAGTGCATACAGCAAATGAAAAAAAATTCATTCAAGAATATCTACCAAAATGTGGTGAAAATGGCTAACATCTGTGGTATTCGAACCAAAACCCCCTCCCCTCGATTGCTTTTCCCTTCACTTGCAGCTTGGTCTACAGTCCAACATGAAAGTCTTCCTTTCTATTTTTCTGAAGTAATAGTTGTTCTGAGTTTAGTTCTTTCCGAGCGAGCTGGAAAATCATTCTTTTTTTGCTTAAATCACCATAGGATACAAGACACAAATACACTGATATCATAAAACAATAGCAGTAACAATGGGATATGCAAATATCAATAATGTGAATGGTAAAAATTAAAATTAAACTAATAAAAATTAACTAAAACAAGATACCACACAAAATAATCAAACAAAGATTAAAAATTGGGAAATACAAAAGACTGCCAAGGATGTACAGCAACAGGCACTCGTCAGATACAATTTATAAGAGTATAGATTGGTATAACCTTTTGGACAAGAAACTCAGTAGTATCCATGAAAAGTAATGATGCACATACCCTTTGATCCAGCAATTCCACTTTAAGAAATTTATTCTAGACTCAAAATGGGCAAAGATATACAGAGTTGTTAGTCAGCAGTATATAACATCAAAAAAAACTGAAAAAACCTGCATGTCAATCAATAAAGGATTACTTAGATAAATTATGGTAGGTCAGGCATGGTGGCTCATGCTTGTAATTCCAGCACTTTGAAAGGCTGAGGTGGGTGGATCATTTGAGGTCAGGAGTTTGAGACCAGCCTGACCAACATGGTGAAACCCTCTCTCTACTAAAAAATACAAAAAATTAGCCAGGTATGGTGGCACAAGCCTGTAATCTCAGCTACTCGGGAGGCTAAGGCACGAGAAACACTTGAAGCCAGGAGGCAGAGATTGCAGTGAGCCAAGATTATACCACTGCACTCCAGCCTGGGTGACAGAGCAAGACTGCATCTCAGAAAAAGGGGGAAAAAAACGAATAAATTATGGTAGAGGCAAATCTGTTCAGATGAACAAGATAGATCTTAAAGTATAACATGGAGCAATGTCCAGGATAAATGTCTAAGTAGTTTATAAAACACTTTATCAGTGTGTGTGTATGTGTGTGTGTGTGTATATGTGTGTGTGTGTGTGTGTGTATATATGTATGTGTATACATATACACACATATATATGTATGTGTATACATATACACACATATATATATACATATATATGTATATATATGTATGTGTATACATATACACACATATATATATACATATATATGTGTATATATGTATGTATGTGTATGTGTGTGTGTGCGTGTGTATATGTATGTATATTACACATAGAGTATGATCCAAATTTTGCCAAAATAAATTTTTGGAAAAATAAATATCATGTGTCTAAACCAAAATACAAGAATGTTAACAGTAGTTTAACACTGGGGAAGGCAAAGAAGGTTAAAGGAACTGAGAAAATAAACTTTTAACTTTTTATCCATGTACATTTCCTTACTATCTGAATTTTTATCAGGAGTATGTATTGTGATTTAATTTACATTTTAAATTATTCTAATTATCAGAGCTCTTTAATACTTAAATTAATAAATCAGAAGGTATAGTCACTTCAAGACAATAAATGCTTATTTTCAAAATAAATCTAACAAGCCAATATTTCATAAGTCATTATAACAAATAGTCACACAAAATTAAATGAGTTAAAGGGAACGCTTTTTAGTGTAGATTCTTTAATGAGCACCATTCTATATTCTACTTTGCACCATTCCCTGGGTGAAGTGTTATGGGAAAAAGAGTAAGGGAAGACAGAATATCCTTAAAGGAGATAGCTGAGGTGACAAAATATACATTAATGAAACAACTAGCAAACAATTTCAAACAATATGGTAAAAATTATGAAATAGTTTTAAAATTTTAATGAAATAGACTTACCAAAAGGCAACTCAAATCTTGTATCAAGCAAAATTTTATGAGGAGTTGGGTTTCTAGTTCCACAGATCTCATCGTCTTTCATTAATGTCTCTGCCTCCAATGTGGACCATTCCCCAGGCCCTTCCTAGGAAACAAAGATCTAAGATTAAAGTTTAATCTTTCTTGGCTCCCTTTTGGTTTGAGAGTCAGGTTTTATTCTCTGAAGTTCCTTGTTTGAGAGCTTCTGAGGGCCATTCACATCCTGATAAGGCAAACATGCCACTGTCACCACCTGCCGCCACTGCATGTGGCTTCTGTTCTCCCTCTTTGGTGGGGAGAGCAGCTTTCACTGTGCTAAGCTCTGCAGGTCTAATGAGGACAGAATGTCTGGAGCAGCATATTCTAAAACTAAGCACATCTGTGGATCAATATTTAACCTGTACAGTTCTTAATGACTGTGTCACTGTTTCTAGTCAGTAAAAAGCTACCAACACTGCTGGCTAAATAGGAGTGAACTGGTGCTGCAATGAAAATTAACTGCCCATCTGCCTGGGGAGTAGAAACTTCGCTATAAAAGAAATACAGAAAATAGAGGCAACTTCAGCTTCCCCATTCCAAGAGAAAACTCATGGTCCATGTTAACACCAAATAGAATATGACAGATTTTGTCCAGGTCGAAAGTGTCAATGGGGAAATAACACTGAGTTATGATCCAGTCTAGGAAAGTAGGGCAAATGTTCAATCCTAGGAATAATGCATAGAGGTAGTGTGAATACAGATTGCCAAGCCTGGTAGTTCCTTAAACTCTATTAGGGTTACATATAGAAGAAGAGCCCTGAAACCAGTCCTTGGAGACTGGTAACTCAAAGAAACAAAGCAGAGAAAGCCAGCTGGCTAAGGAAGCCTAATGGGACTCCTCCCAGGGCAGTGACTTAAAGGAGAACATAGAAACCACAAGTACCCTAAGTTAACATACACACAGGCACACACACACCTCAGAAGGGGTTGTCTCCTGGTAAGGCTGAAGAGGTACTTTGGAGCCTGTGAGTTTAGTCACAGGACATAGGGTAGACCAGAATCAAATGAAATCATCTGAACTTTCAAGTGAGGTTAGGAATAGGCAGATTACATGCTCTCTATTAGAAAGGAGGAAGAATAATCCAAGATGCATGGATGAATATTAGCTAAAAGGGAGCTAGCATGGGGAGAAGCATGGGCTAGGAACCATACTTCCAGACAGGCAATGCAATGACTGACCTCATCTGACTGACGAATAGTCTTCAGTGCAATCCACACAGTCCCCACCATGGTGTCCCAGATCAGTCCTTTGTTCCATACTTCCACACTTAGACCCAGGTCCAGGCGACTAATCTCACTAAAGGAAAGAGGAAAGCCCTTTGAGGAAAGCTGCACAATATGAAAGAAACAACTGCATCCCCTGTTTTGCTAAACTTTGAATGTTTTCTCACCAATATCCTGTCTTCAGGGAAAATCAAAATTTTCCAGAATGCTGCAACCATTTTTAGGCTCCAAGAAACCTATGTAAGGTAGCCATAGAAAACTGCCTTTGCTACAGTTATATAAGTTCCAGAGACCTGCTGTATGACATAGTGCCTCCAGTTAACAATAAGGTATTGTGCACCTCAAAATTTAAGAGGGTAGATTTCATATTAAATGTTCTTAACACACATACAACAAAAAAAGGAGACACAAGTAAACTTTTAGACATGATGAATATATTTATTACCTTGATTATGGTGATGGTAACCAAGTTTATACATATGTCTAAATTGTACACATTTATTATGTGCAGTTTTTTATATATCAACTAAATCTCAATGAGGATGGGAGTGGAGAAAGAAAAATGCCTTTGTCTATCCGTTCTTTCCACTTTGGAGATAGAATCATGATTAGATTAGCGCAGTTTCACAAAATATGAGGCCAAATAACGAGGACATTATTGCCAGGCCTACTTGCCAATTTTCACCCATAGGCAACAGTTTTATATGTTTTATTATTAACTAACACTGCTTCAACATAAACCATGCACTGCATACTGGAAACTTTTAGGAAAGGTAAGTCTGCTTTACAAGATTTATGAGGCTGGACATGGTGGCTCAAGCCTGTAATCCCAGCACTTTGGGAGACACATGGATCATCTGAGGTCAGGAATTTGAGACCGGCTTGGTCAACATGGCAAAACCTGTCTCTACTAAAAATACAAAAATTAGCTGGGCAAGGTGGCGCACACCTGTAATCCTAGCTACTTGGGAGGCTGAGGCACAAGAATAACTTGAACCCCGGAGGCAGAGCCAAGATCGCACCATTGCACTCCAGCCTGGGTGACAGAGTCAGACTCCATCCCACCCAAAAAAAGATTGCGGGGAGGGATTTATGAAAGGGAGTCCAGGTAGAAGTTGGGTCCCTGAGAACATGTAAGTTTGACAGAAACACATTGTCAGAGGCAAGTGAGGGGCTCTAGAGTGTGCTAGTTCATACCACTCAGTCCCTGCAGGACTCATTAATCATTATTAAACTAGGCACTATCACTTATAAGTAAAATTATTACGATGGGATGATAAATATAATGATTTTCCTATAATAATAACTAGGGGGAAAAATTCAAAAAGAAATCCTTCCAGAAAGAGCCACATAAGCACTCTTTAAAAGCAGTGTCATACATGGTAGAATATCTGCCTGGAAGGACTAACTCAAACATAATCCCAGTCTTAAACTAGAATATGCAAATAGTACTTGTGTTAATGTTAAAAACATTCTTCAGAAAGCTCTTATTGAAACACAAGGTTACTTGAGGGGTGATCCAGGAAAGATGAGAAAAGACCAATTCCAGCAGAGAAAGCAGAAAGGCATTCTCAGGAAAACAACAGCTATTCATCACAAACAGAAGTTTCAAGTTTGTGCTTTAGAGAAAGCTTGGGTTCTTGTTGTACTATAAATGTTCTCAGATTCACAAGTTTGAGATATAGAATTATAGCCATATAATTCATGTCAGGTGTTGAAAATGAATAAAGCAAAGAAAATTTGTCTCTTTCATATAAACATAATATAGCATAGAAGGTACTAATTTATTCATTTAATATTTCCTGAGCACTTACAAGACATATGACTTGGTGCTTTGGAGAAGAAACATAATATAGGACTCAGGTTTTGTGTCCAAAAACATCTAAGCTATCTGGAGAACTGTTCAATGCCACAAAGTAGATGAATAAACCTAGCCACTAAGTTACAGTGTTCACAGTGGGGAAACTAAGCTTTTTGTCACATAGTTTAATTCAGTCTCATTAAAAAATTAGTCTTGGAAAATACATGTAACATTCTCAAATCTGTCAGACTTATCATTCATTTGAATATGGAATAGAAAAATTGCTTGAGCCAGGTGCAATGTCTTATGCCTGTAATCCCAGCATGTTGGGAGGCTGAGGTGGGAGGATCACTTGAGCCCAGGAGTTCGAGACCAGCCTGGGCAACATGGCAAACCTCGTGTCTACTGAAAAACAAATTTTTAATTAGCTAGACATTAAAAACAAAATTTTAATTAGGCACTACAGACATACACTAGGAGGCTGAGGCAGGAGAATCGCTTGAGCTGAGGAGATCAAGGCTGTAGTGAGCCAAGATGGTGCCATTGCATTCCAGCCTGGGCAACAAAGTCAGACCCTATCTCACAAAATATTAAATTAGAAAAAAAAAAAGAAAAATTGCTTGTGGATACATATGTAATATTCCCATAGCAACTCCCAAATAGCATCTCCAGCTTACAGACAGAAAAAATAGCCAGAGGTCTTTAACAGCTTGACTAGAAGAGATAAAGAAGAAAATCTGTTCTTCAGAGAACTCTCTGGGGAGAAGGCCCAAACAATGAATATATATTCTATAAGAAGCTTCTCATCTCACCTACATTTGCTCAGCAGGCCCAGCTAAGAGAAGTCTGAGAGCTCTATTTATGCTTCAGACCCAGGACCCTAGGGAAGTTTCTTTTCTGATAATTAATTCAATCAACAATATACATAAACATGTGTATAGAAGACTCTGGGCTATACAAATTCACACAAATGGTAAAGATGCCCTTACTCTTAAGAAATGAACAATCTAGTCCTAAAAACAAGATATGGAAATATTAAAAACAAATAATATAAGAAATACCAAAATGGATATTAGATATTGCCACATAATACATCATGGAGAAGGAAAAAGGAGAACGGAAGACAAGGAAACCAGCAATGAAGTTTCCAGTGACAAAAGAACAGGGTAGTAGACAGAGTTCTGCAAGGAGTGAACAAAAAAAATAATAAATATAATAGGACAGGATAGGAGGAATAAGGAGTAGGAAGAGCAGAAAAATAGAGAAAGTAGCTAATAAAACCCACATGTGAAAGAAGAGAGGGCAAAATTCATATAGCATCTCAATGTGGGAGACAGGGAAGAAAATTCACACATATCACAGCAGGGTTGAAAGGGGAAGTGCTATGGGAAATTGGAAAATAAACACATAAGAATAAGGTTAGCTATGCTGAAGAGAGGCTCCAGAGATCACTGTGCTTCACATGATACGAACAGTTATAACCAGAAGTAATGGTTATAGTGAACTGGAAGTGCTAGGATACCATAGCCAGGAGTATGGCTAACATACTGGCATGGAAAGAGACTTTTATAAACCATAAGTAGCTGACTCTGCACACTGCATGTATAAAGAAGGAAACAGGTGCTTACTCCATTGCTGGTTTCCTGTCTCACAGGTCTCACGTCACTGTCACTGAGAGAGGGAATAAATGAGGCTTATATAATCTTGAGGGAAAGGCAACCAATGAGAAACATAACACCATTGTCCTCCTTCTGTTGGAAGTCCAGTTCTCCCTCAGTTTCCAAGACACCGTTATCTCCTGGCTCTCTTACCTCTCTGTTCAATCCTTTTTAGTATCCTCTGTCCCCTCATTAAATGCTGCTACTCTCCAGCTTCTACCACAGTTCCTTTATCACCATATATATTCTTGCCCTAAGTTTTCTCATCTTCACCTATGGCTTCAAATGACCAAAATATTTCTCGAAAGCAGACATCTTCCCTGAGTGCTGACTTCAGGTTTCTAACTATCTTCTGTACTTCTCCTTCCTATCTGTCCTATAAGAATCTCAAATATAAGATTGTCCATAACTGATCTTATATTAATCCCTATCCTAATGAGTGGCATACCACCCACCCCATCTTCCAACCAAATCCTTTGATTCTACTTACTGAAGATCTTCTATTCATCCTTTTCTATGTCTTCTGCTATTGTCCCAGCCCAAAACCTCATAATCCTTGCCTTTAACTATCACAATAATGGTCCTATAGGAAGCAATATAGGCCAGATGCAGTGGCTCACACCTGTAATCCCAGCACTTTGGGAGGCCAAAGCGGGAGAACTGCTTAAGCCCAGGAGTTTGAGATCAGCCCGGGCAACATAGTGAAACTCTATCTTTACAAAAAATGAAAACATTAGCCAGGGTGTGGTGGTACATGCTTGTAGTTTCCACTACTCAGGAGGCTAAGGCAGGAAGATTGCTTGCACCCAGGAGTTAGAGGCTATGGTGAACTATGATCATACCACCGCAATCTAACATGGGTGACAGACTGAGATCCTGTCTCAAAAAAAAAAAAAAAGAAAGATATTAAGAGCCCGGATGATTGGAAATGTCTCCCCGTAAAAATAATAACCATCCCTATGTTCCTCTGAGCTGCACTATAAAACAGGCAAATCGATTTCAGTTCAGGTTCAAATATCAGAGCAATTTTAATACTTTTTCTCATTCAGCCCCTTCATGCCCACCTCCAACTCCCAAAAAAACAAGCATAATCTTGTGAGAGAAGTAAACCTTTACAGATAAGGAAATTAGCATCCTAGAAAGCTAAATGATTTTCCTAGTTCTTGAATATATTCTATACTTTTCTCCCTTTTTCTAGAACAGGGACAAAAAATTCCCGAAATTTAAGGTGAGGGAATAAAGAAATATCAAGTTCTTAAAGCCGAAGTTTAATTAAATCATAATATACTAAACTTTGTGGTACACAAGAAATTCTACTAATATTTATTCATTTTAATTAATTAAATATAGGATATTTTACTCCATAAAGCAAAAGGATTATAAGCACAGAAATCTTCAGCCTCAGAAATAGATGACTTAGGTACACGCAAAGATACAGTCTCTTACATGCATGGCCACATTCCTTCAAGGAGCCTTCTAAAAATCAAAGAAAGACGAAGTTATGTTTAATGTCATGCTAAGTATGTTGTACTATATTCTAATTCTGACCATTGAGAAAATCTGACTATGCAGTATTTTCACCGACACAAATCAATTGGGAGTTTACCTGCATTACTATTCATCTCTAAGAACAAATTACGAATCCACAAAAAAACAAAACTTCTTTAACTCACTTATTTCTATAACTCCACAGTTTTCAAAAGAGTATTTAACAGTACCAGTACATTTTATAAATCTCGAAAATAAAAAAATTTTCTAATTGTTTCATCCAATGCAATTATCTTAAAAAGATTATGAAATGTGTAGGCACACTGCTGCTGCAGAATACTTACAACATGAAATCCTGTTCCCAGGAAGGCTGATCACCACGAACTGCTACAGTTGTACTCTTCACATTCTGAACTTTCAGGGTCACATATGTGTTAAATTTATCTTTGAAAAAAATGCAAAATGGAGACATAATATTTAGTGCTCAGATTGTTACCCAATCTCACAAAGCTCTTGGAATTAATATAGAAATTAATGTATTACATGTGCAAGAAAAAAATGAAGCTATATATTGTACAATATAGCCTCATTCAAGACATAGAAGAGTTGCTAAAATTATAAAACTACACACTATCTTCAAGAGCATAATCTCAAATACTGTTTTTTGAATTTTAAGAAATTATATATATGACTCAACAGATATGCATACACACTCTCAAACTGAGACAGATGCATGAATGCAAGATATGATAAATTAATATTTTCTTTTCTAATTTATTTAATCTCTTTCTATGGAAATCCTAAACTACTAAATTGATTTTATACCTCACTTGCAGTCTGGGGGGCAATATCCAAATCTAATTGATCTACTAGGAAAGATAAGGTACATAAATTTAAAAAGAGATAAGTATCAGAAGGAAAAAAGAAAAAGTGATAAGGAACTGCAGAGCTGTTGACTGGGGCAAGAATTAAGAAAAGATCTTCACAAAGAAAGTAGATTTCAATCTTGATCTATTCGGTTTGGCCTAAAGCACAAGTTACGAAAAAGAATTTTTTTTTTTTTTTTTTTTGAGACAGGGTCTTGCCGTGTCACCAAGGCCGGAGTCCAGTGGCACGATCTTCACTCACTACAACATCTACCTCCCAGGTTCAAGCAATGCTCATGCCTCAGCCACCCAAGTAGCTGGAATTACAGGTGTGTGCCACCATAACCAGCTAATTTTTTTATTACTAGTAGAGACGGGGTTTTACCAAGTTTGGCCAGTATGGTCTCAAATACCTGACCTCAAGTGATCTACCCGTCTCAGCCTCCCAAAGTGCCGGGATTACAGGCATGAGCCACTGCACCTGGCCAAAAAAAGAAATATCATCAAAGAATTGAGAAAAGGAAATTCTCTAACCTGAGAGTACAAGTTAAGTACTAAACAAAGGTGGTGGCCTGAAACTTCAAACTCAGGCATCTCACCTGATGCCTTACTACAGCAAATTTGTCACTTGCTAACTACATGCACATCAGCCATGATTAGGGGCACTGAGCTGAGGGTTTGCTTTTCTATGTAAGAAATTAATCCTAATTTTATAAAATGAAAAAATAGCAAACTATCACTTTTGACTCATCAAACTGGCAAACACTGCTTAACATGATTACCTAATGTTAGAGAAAATGTGAGAAAATGGGATCCGTCATACACTTTCAGCTGAAGGTTATCTTTTTTTAAATAACATTTAAAATTGTGTAGTTTGATACTTATCAACATGGAAAACTTATAATTATATTAAAGATATATGAAGATAAAGGCCCATAGAAGGAGAATCTCCATCCATATCCAGTAGTAGCACCACTGCAGTAGGCCACTGAACTATGGTTTATATCACATATTTTGTACTCCACCCCCAACGTAGTGACCAGAACAAGAGTAAATAACCCAAGAGTAGCCAGTCTATGAGCTGGCCAAAAGCTGAAACCAACCTGATTCCTTCTCAAAGATTTTAAATAGGGTAAAAGGATAAATATTGACAATTGATGGTTGGTGCTGAAGCTAGAAAGAAGGGGTATAAATTCCGTTGAAGCAGCTATTATGGGTGCAAGATGGGTAAGCATAGAAAACCAACTGGGAGAGAAACAAGAGCAGATTCTCAGAAAAGAGAAGTCCTAACTAGAGCCAGCAGAGAAAGTAGTAGGCTCAGAAACTGCTTTCATTACTGTTGCACCCAAGGTCCAGTTTTTCAGATTTTCCTGGGTTCCCAAGCATATTCATATATTTCCAGTAACCTCCCAGCTCCCCTCTCTTCTTCTCCAGCAGTAACCAGAGGAAGTCTTCCTAAGTGACATTCAAAATTGAGGAAATACATATTAAAATAAGGAAATACCAGTTTTCATCTTCAGGTGGACAAAGATTTTAAAATTTCATATTTGAATGTTAATAAGGATTTGGGAAAATATATGTTCACAAACTTTTGTTCTCAGTATACATAGTAAAAACCTGCAGAAGAACAATTTGGCAGGCGTTACCAAATTTTTAATAAATACATATACCTTTGGCCCACCAATTCTATTTCTGATTCTAGTACATAGAGACATTTGCAAAAGCAAGCAATAAGAAGTGCACAAGAACACTTATCATTTGTAATAGCAGAAACTTGGGAACTTAAATTTTTTTTTTTTTTTTTTTTTTTTGAGACGGAGTTTCGCTCTTGTTACCCAGGCTGGAGCGCAATGGCGCGATCTCTGCTCACCGCAACCTCCGCCTCCTGGGTCCAGGCAATTCTCCTGCCTCAGCCTCCTGAGTAGCTGGGATTACAGGCACGCACCACCATGCCCAGCTGATTTTTTGTATTTTTAGTAGAGACGGGGTTTCACCATGTTGACCAGGACGGTCTCGATCTCTTGACCTCATGATCCACCCGCCTCGGCCTCCCAAAGTGCCGGGATTACAGGCTTGAGCCACCGCGCCCGGCCTGGGAACCTAAATATTAATATTAATCGATCAGGGACTTATTAATCAATCAGGGCACAAATCTACAACAAAATTCTGTATAGCACCTTAAAAGAATGAACCAGACACACACACACACGCACGCACGCACGCACACACACACGCAAGCACGCACACACACACACACACACACTCTCTCTCTTACACTTTCATGAAGTATTGCTAGGGAGGAAAAGCAGGTTGCATAAGATATGTTTCACATGGTCTATTTGTATATTTTAAATTTTAAGAAATTTATATATGATCCATAGATACACATACACATACTCTCCAATTGAAACAGATTCATGAACTGCAAGACCTGATACACTGATATTTCAATATTTATCCATTAATTGTCAATATTTATCCTTTTACCCTATTTCAGACTTTTTCTGAGAAAAATTGTGTAGTTTTGTACTTATCCACATGGAAAACTTATAATTATATCTTAGAAAAAGTCTGAAAATGTATATCAAAACCTCTAGATATATTTTCTGAGAAAAAGTCTGAAAAGGTATATTAAAACCTCTGGATATATAGTTATTATTGAGAAGTAGAATGGGTTACCCAAGGGGTAATAAAACTAATTTTTCACTAGATTAATGATTTCATTAATTTAGTGAAGTAATGAATTAAATTACCGAATTTGATCAACGAATTAATGATTTTTTAAAATTGCTTTAAAATAACAGAAAATACAAGAGGAAAAGATTTAATAGGCGGCTAGCCTTACCTGGTGAACCCTGGAATTTGGCCCTTTTAACTGCAAGAAAAAAAAGAGGATACAATGAAGAATATTTCCAAATTCATTTTACTTGAGCAACATTTCTTGGGCACTATGTACCAATGTTAGAGTTAGGTTTAGATTGTTAAATCTAATCCTGGAGGGAAAAAAAAAGCTGAGACTTCTGATCAAAACTTGAAAGGCAGAGAGAGCCCTTAAAAGTCAATCTAATCCCATATCCAATGCAAAAATCTCTGTTCCAGTCTCCTGACAACAAGGTAGAGAGATCTAAATTACTCCTGTGGCAGGCAGCCAGCTTCATATGAGCTATCTTCCAAAGGCTTAAGTTACAAATGTTCCTTATTTAAAACCCATCATAGAAATCCCCTCTATTCTCTTCACGGCAAAAGAAGAGCATAACAGGCCAGATCCAGATAATAACATTTAAAACAAGAATGAGAAATAAATTCTTTCTGAAAATAAGCAGATATTAAGAGGAACTCCTGTCAATGTGATCACACAGTGCTGTTTCCAAAAAGGCAGTAGAGAACTACTCAGGAAAGAATCCCACAATGGAGTGCACATGCTGGTTCCTGGGAAAGGTCAAAGGCCATACATGCAGGTAAACTGCTAAATCCCAGAAAGCACCAAATAACTATCAAAGAAGATGAGGGCTACCTGCCACAGGGGAAAAAAAGATAAAAGAAAACCCTAAAACACAAAACCTGGAAAGGATGCTTAAGGGTGTATGTCTGCCATTCTCTTTATCCTGCATTACTACCGAAAGCTTCATCTTAACTAACATCCAACCCTTGCTTAATACTTCTAAAAGAGGTCATTCTGTACCTTTTACAAGGTCCTCTTCATTTTCAGACAGATTTTAAAAATCTATTCTTTTTATTGAAACAAAGTCTATCTCTCACTGGAGACTGCCTTTTGTAGCCCCATTTCAGTTCAAATACTCTTCCCAGCTGGTGTTCTTTTTCATAAATGTGTGGAAAGTACATACACATCTCTCTAAATGGCTTGGCTAAAATTACCTTAAAAAGATTAAGCTCGATAATTACTAATTGGTCAATAAGCATAAATTTGCCATTATGCTAGTTAACTATATAGTGATAATAACGGTTCCGTGATGTGACACCCTATTGAGTGTCAACTTGATTGGATTGAAGGATGCAAAGTATTGTTCCTACCTGTGTCTGTAAGGGTGTTGCCAAAGAAGATTAACATTTGAGTCACTGGACTGGGAGAGACAGACCAACCCTCAATTTGGGTGGGTATCATCTAATCAGCTGCCAGCGCAACTAGGATAAAAGCAGGCAGAGGAACATGGAAGGACTAGACAGGCTGAATCTTCTGGTCTCCATCTTTCTCCTATGCTGAATGCTTCCTGCCCTTGAACATCAGACTGAGTTCTTCAGCTTTGGGACTCTTGGTCTTACACCCATGCTTTGCCAGGGGCTCTCAGGCCTTTGACCACCGACTGAAGGATGCACTGTTGGTTTCCCTACTTTTGAGGTTTTAGGACTCAGACTGCCTTCCTGGCTCCTCAGCTTGCAGATGGCCCAGTGTGGGACTTCACCTTGTGATCATGTGAGTCAATTCTAATAAACTCCCCTTCATATATATATATATACATATCCTATTAGTTCTGTCCCTTTAGAGAACCCTGACTAATACAGGTTATTTCTGGGGTGGGGGGTGGGGAGGTTAGGGGAGTTGAGTGTGGGGATGGGGGGTAGGGAGTGGAGGGATGGGGCATACGGAGTGGGGGGCTGGGGGGTAGGGATAACCTTGCAATCTACCAAGGCACTGGAATCACCTGAGGGCTGTTAAAGCACACATTGCTGGGCCACATCACCTTGGTTTCTAGACTCAGCAGGGGCTGTGAAACTGTATTTCTAACAAGTTCCCATGTGATGTTGCTCGCATTTACTGGCTAAAGAACAGGGATGCTGGTAAATATTCTACAGTATACAGGACAGTTCTCCAGAGTAAAACCTAGCCTATCCTGCCACGAGTGCTACCCATCACTGTACACCACCAGGAGGTCTAGGGACTAGCCTATCAAGCCTGCTGCCACCACTAAAAGCCATACATGCTGCTGAGTGGTGCAAGGATTGGCACACCACTGCTGCTACCACTGTCAACTCCTCACACAACACCTGGGGTATCCAAGGACTCACCCACTTTGTCGGTTACTGGAACAGCCAGCACCCAAGCATACCACCTAGAGGCCCAAGGGAGCCCAAAGACTGGCATTCCTAGAATGCCACTGCTACGACTGATTTCAGAGGACCAGCCCATCTGGCATATCCATCCCCAGCAAAGTCTTGCCACAGCCTCCAATAACAAATGCAGCCTACACCACTCAGAGGTCAGGAAACCAGTCTGAGTAAAGGTGAATAAATCATATGTAGACTACACTACTGCACCCACCCAGAATCAAAGCCAAAGCACCTTTCCCCAGCAACAATATAGATACATCTATAGAAAAAAACTCTTTTCCTAAAAAAGCCAATCAATCCACAACATTAAAAGAAGCAACTGTTACAACACATACACAAGTATCGATATAATAAAAGAAATATTCAGCCAGTCATAGTGGCTCACACCTGTAATCCCAACACTTTGGGAGGCTGAGGTGGGTGGATAACTTAAGGTCGGGAGTTCAAGGCCATCCTGGCCAACATGGGAAACCCCATCTCTACTAAAAATACAAAAATTAGCTGGGTATAGTGACACACACTTGTCATCCCACCTACTCAGGTGGCTGGGGTGAAAGACTCACTTGAGCCCGGGAGGCAGAGGTTGCAGTGAGCTGAGATCACACCACTGCACTCTAGCCTGGGTGACAGAGTGAGACCCTGTCTCAACAACAACAAAAAACAACACCACAAGAAACATGGGTTCTTCTTGTCTTTTTCTAGTTCTTAGTGGAAAGGCTTTCAGCTTTTCCCCAGTCAGTAGGATGTGAGCTGTGGATTTGTCACATATGGTCTTTACTGTGTTGAGATATGTTCCTTTTACGCATATTTTTTTATTTTTTATTTTTATTTTTTGCAAGAAGAAATGAAAAGACCTGTGGTTTCTATTAGCAATGAAGTCACAGGCACTCCTAATACAGATCCATTGCCTACAGTGTCCCTATAACTGGGGGATATATTACATTTCAGTTAGAGGTTAGTAAAAATAAAGGGTTTTTTCTTCAACTTCACAGGTCCCTGAAAATTAAAAATCCCTGTACCAGACCAGTGTTTATGCATAATTTTTAAGAGTATTTTTTTATGAAGGAATGTTACATTTTATCAAATGCCTTGTCTATGTCTATTGAGATGATCTTACAGTTTTTGTCCTTCATTCTGTTAATGTGATGTATCACATTTATTGATTTGCACATGTGGAACCATCATTAAATCCCTGGGATAAATCCCACTTGATCATGGTATATAATCTTTTTGATATATTACTGGCTTTCGTTTGCTAGTATTTTGTTGAAGATTTTTGCATCTGTGTTTATCAGGAGTATTTGCCTGTAGTTTTATTTTTTTATTCTGCCATTGTCTGGCTTTGGTAGACCATGGCCCACTTTCACAACTCTCATTCAACTTAGTACCGGGAGTCCTAGCCAGAGCAATCAGGCAAGAGAAAGAAATTTAAGGCAACCACACTGGAAAAGAGGAAGCCAAACTGTCCCTCTTTGCTCATGACATGATCTTATATAAAGAAAAACCTCAAGATGCCACTGTTTGGTTTTTTTTAACTCTTAGATCTGATCAATAAATTCAGTAAAGTTGCAGGATACAAAATCAACTACAAAAATCAGTAGCATTTCTATACACTAATAGTGAACTAGCTGAAAAATAAATCAATAAAGTATTTGCATTTACAATTGCTACAAAAATATTCAATACCTAGGAATAAATTTAACAAAGGTAAAAGACCTCTACAACAAAAATGACAAAACACTGATAAGAGAAATTGAAGAGAACACAAATGGAAAGACATGCTATGCAAATGCATTATAACAATATTGTTAAAATGACTGTATTACTCAAAGCAATCTACAGATTAAATGCAATCCCTATCAAAATATCCATGCTATTCTTCACAGAAATAGAAAAAAAAAAATCCTAAAAGTCATATAAACCACAAAAGATCCTGGATAGCCAAAACAATACTGAGTAAAATGGACAACGCTGGAGGTATCATACTATCCGACTTCAAAATACATAAGAAAGCTAAAGTAACCAAAACGAGTTACTACTGGTATAAAAACGGACACACAGGCCAATGGAATACAATAGAGAACCCAGAAATAAATCCATGCATTTATAGCCAATTGACTTTTCAACAAAGGCATCAGAAAAACACAGAGGAAAGAATATCTTCAATAAATGGTGTTGGGGCCGGGCGCGGTGGCTCAAGCCTGTAATCCCAGCACTTTGGGAGGCCGAGGCGGGTGGATCACGAGGTCAAGAGATCGAGACCATCCTGGTCAACATGGTGAAACCCCGTCTCTACTAAAAATACAAAAAAACATTAGCTGGGCATGGTGGTGCGTGCCTATAATCCCAGCTACTCAGGAGGCTGAGGCAGGAGAATTGCCTGAACCCAGGAGGCGGAGGTTGCGGTGAGCCGAGATCGCGCCATTGCACTCCAGCCTGGGTAACATGAGTGAAACTCCGTCTCAAAAAATAAATAAATAAATATATAAATGGTGTTGGGAAAACTGAATATCCATATTACAGAAGAATGAAACTAGGCATCTCCCACCATACACAAAAAACTCAAAATGAATTAAAGAGTTAAACCTAAGACCCAAAACATTAAAACTACTAGAAGAAAACATAAGGGAAACACTAGGACATTGGTCTAGGCAAAGATTTTGTGGCTACGACTTCAAATGCATACAAATAAATGAAAATAGACAAATGGGACCCTATAAAACTAAAAAGGCTTTGACAGCAAAAGTAACAATCAATAAAGAGACAACCTACAGAACGGGAGAAAACATTTGCAAACTATTCATCCAA